ATGGTAATGAACCTTCGGGTTCCATAAAATGCTGGGAAATTCTTGAGTAGCTGCAGAATTGGCAGCTCCTCCAGAAGGGTTCAGATCCATGAGTACGTAAGTAAGTAAATAAATTATATACTTCTTGATAGAGTGTAGGATTATTACTGAGTGATATTCACAACTGGTTTAAAAATCAAACAGTGGAGTGTAGATATGTGTGGGGCAAAGAAATGTAACACAAGAAACTTACTCCATTCTCCTGTCAATATGTAAGGTAGACACAGTTACTAAAGTGATGTGCAAGTATTGCAGTCAAATTCTGGATGCAATCTGAATCCTCATTCATAATCTTTTTTTCTTAATTACAGCATGTGGCAAAAATACAGTACTGAAATGAAAAGACAACAGAACCTTCCCAAATCCTGAAGAAATGGTCCGATCACCGTGTCTCTGTAGCGTTCTTGGGTGACGGTAAGTGCACTGCCTTCCGCATCCTCAATGAAATAGGGGCCTAATATACCGTGAGCTGAGACGGCACATCATATTGTCACACGTATATTATGTAGCGGTTTCTGGACGATAGCATCTGACCGCTCAAAACCAAGGAATCCAGTTGTCTGGCAATTGATGTAGCCATCCAAGTGAATGTGACTTTCATCGGAGAACCACACATTCCTCAAGAAATCTAGATCCTCGTACATCATGCCCAAAAATGTTCCATAATACACCATCCTGGCTCGCATATCTGACTCTGTCAAGCGTTGTCCAACCTGTATCCGGTATGGAAATCCACCTATGTCCTTAAACAATCGGCGAACAGACATATCGCTGACGTTCAGTTTCAAGGCCATTCATCATAGACTTTGTAGGGCGAATGTAACACCTGCTGAAGAACACGTGTGTGATTCTCATTTTTCGAACCAGTTACCTGTTAACCAGATACCTGTTAACCAGACTTCCCCTTCCGTTGACACAGTACACTACCAGAATGGTGAAATTTCATAACAACATACAGCATAACTGTGTTACTTGGTGCCATCTTATTAAATCTCCCTTGGAATTGTTCTGTCACCTTTTTCAAACTTGGTCCCCCTTCACAACCACTTCTGTACGAGCAGAAATAATACTCAACAATGAATGCTTTTTCTGTCGAGAGACCCATTTCCAACAACAACACAACACACTTCCTTTTCACTACTGGGAACATACGCATCGATACTGGGAACACATCGATATGCATATTCGAGATGCGTGAGTTTCAGTACTGCATATTTTGGCACATACTGCACATTAATTTATTAATCCAAGTGTTATTCCTTCTTTGATGTTTTGCTACTATATACCACAATACTGACAAGGAAGCAACCATATTCTGGGCAAAGAACAGGTACCTTTTTAATTAAATAATACATCTGAGTATAAACTGATACTCACAGAATAAATTAAATTCATATGCTACAGAACTAAACAAATAAAGCATATGTGTCTAAATACATTAACATATTGTACCTCAAAGTCTAAAATTCAGTAATACCTATAGTAAGATGAGTGTGTAACCTTCTGTCTTCCTCGTATCCAATATGTACTCAAATCATAATATAGTTCAATATTAGAATAATTTCTTACTCATTATAACCTAATACAAAATAAAGCAACCATCATATAGAATAATTAATAAATATTATAGCATGCTTGTAATGGGTTAGTTAATTTAATTTATTAATTGATAAATATCTGTAACTTTTCTGTTGTTGGGTTTAGCTGTATCATATGTTGAAGCTGTTCCAGTGTTTCACTGCATGTTGAAGTTTCCATTCTCATGTTCAACTTGAAGATGACAATTGCAATATAAGGAATGTTGGAGGAGCTCCATGTATGTTGCAGCTAAACACTGAAATCTGAATTTACATATTAGACATATGCTGCAAAAATTACTAACAAGCATTAATAAGTAAATGCATGCAGGCCAATTATTTTACTAAATGATTCTGTGTGTACAACATGGTATGAATACAGATCTGATTACAACCAACACCGATGTACAAATATCTTAGGACACCAACGCCAATACTAAAGCCATGGAAAGAAATCCCATGGACTCAACCCCTCAAGTCATCTGACCATTCTGTTCACATGACTGCTGTTAGTGCCAACTTCTGCTAGCAACATGTGCTTTGAGGTGGTAGTGTATGCGACAGAGGGCTGGAGGGAAATATAACAGTATACAGAAAGGGTGAACCCTCAAACATCATCATCCTCACCATTCCCGGAACTTCTTTCCATGGCCTAAGTATAGTCATATGATAATCCATGACAAAAAGTGATACATCCCCAAAATTGTGAAGGCTAACCCACCTGGGGGGCTAAGGTCTATGAAGTCTTTTGACAGCAAATTTGTTAGCAGCTCCATCAAAAGAAGAATGTCACGAAATGTTTCCTCTTCAGCAGCAGACTCAAGACTCAGCCTCCCTGTGTTGCAGCGAGCATATGTCTGTATAGTCTGGAGACACGCTTCGTATATTCGCCGACTGTCACCCTGTCCAGCACAAATGTTATTCAGTCATCTGTTTGCATGGTACCGCCTTAACATTGAACAAACTGATCTGGAATGTGTCTATGCTTACAATCAGGGAAAGGCAGCAACTGACAGTGTTCATGTGATGTACAGTGGCTTAGAATGCTTTGCTTCTGACCAGCCCCATAACATGCTACTAAGATATCTTTTTGAACAATGGCCCCTTCTCCTTCAACCACTCCTACAGTGCAACAAAACCTATCATACCACCTACAGACATTTCAGCCTTTTCATGATGCCTCATTAATCCCAGTTTCTACATCAGTGTGCTAAAGAATCTCAGCACTGAAAAGGTTAATTCACATACAATAGATGCTATACCCTTAAATTTCTATAGCAATGATTACTGTCTAACTAACTCTTTGGTACAGAGTATACCTTAAATAGATGATGGCCAATTCTCAGGTTTAATTCAACCAAAAAGTGCAGATCTAAAGCAGCTCAATCCAGTTTCCATCCTCAACCAATTTCTCCAAGCTTAATTTTATTATTATTATTACCATAATTATGCCTGTGCCTAGCATGTGATCTTTTTTATTTTGTGAAGTTTTCCAAATTTGTATACAAACTGCAAATAGATCCTATTTTAAATCGGCTAAATCCAGTTCACATCTTCATACTCCATTTTTCTAAGATCCATTTAAATATCACCCTCCTGCCTATTCTTAGTTTCATGTGATTCTAAAGGGAAAAGAAAAACATTTTCCATGGCTTCAGCTATATTTTCTTAATTCTCTTCAGAGTCAGTAAATGATCACTTAAAGTCTTAATCATTAATTTTAAAACTTTGCAAAAAATCAAGTATTTACTGCATCAGATTTTCTGAAACTCCTTACATGAATGGAAATCCTAATAGGCTTAATATATTACTGTAAACTTCAATGCAAGAGCCATCACACCACACAGAAGTTAATTCTCTGTTACATACATACACATTCAGCTTAATCTTTTAAAAGGTTCATGAAGCACCTAATACTATCACATGGCACACAACTTTTACTAAAGATAAAGCAAATGGATTTGCAGCATGTGGACTCTGAAGGCCAATAAATGCATCTTACATAACTGCATGCAGCACATGTATACACAGTGGAATCTCATTAGTAAACTCTGTCTAAAACATGTTTCAGGGTGTGTTTATCATCACATAGTGATGCAGATCATAATGTCATTATTGGAAATTTATTAGACCATATTTTTAATATGCTTCTGGTATTCATATGCCAGTGGAAAATTCAAATATACTTGGCTTTTTTAAGTTGGTTATTTAATGACTCTATCAATATCAAGACAATATAGTGTTAGAAAACAGGATTATTAATGAATGTGGAGCAGCTGGTGAAATGAGGAGTAATCGGGGAAACCGAACCTGATCCAGTGTCACTTTGTCCACCACAAATCCCACATGACCTGATCTGGCATTGAACCTAGATGTCTGCAGTGAGAAGGTGACTACTTGCCCAAGCTATGGCATGCCCTTTGTGGATCAGTGTACAACATTATTTACCCAGATAATAATATGCTGACGACTGATAGTAAAGCGTGCAGTCTATTAATGATTAACCCCCCACCCCCATCAAGACCATACAGGGACCTCTCTGAACACACATAGGACTTCTCTTCTGTAAGGTTGTCTATACAAGGTATGACATACCCTTAAAAACATTTCAGACACTGCATAACATTACGTTTCACTATACAGTCACTAGGTCAGTGCTGTAATTATAATTTGAGTGCCCATATTATGTGAAAGAAAGTTTACCAGTACTCAGATATGACAAGACACGAGACTTTATTTAAGGTTATTGTGAAAAAATAAAAACTGGCAATGCTTAATTGTACATCTGAAAATTGCGAGCATGTCTGCAACTTGAACCTCTTACAAAACCCTGAGAATGGTACAGAAAATGCATAATAGACATAAAATGTGTTCCATCCCTCTACAGCTTTAGTTCAAAAATCTCACTTGAATAAATGTTTACGAAGTTATGCACAAAAACACATCTAGGTTTTCATGTAAAATGTTATTTTTGTTCAGAAAAGGAATATGTTGACAATTTTTTTTTTAAACTCATTAGGTATGAACTTCAACGAAAATCTTGAGCTGATCTTGGTCACTGCACCATTTCAGTCAGTCACCTAAATCTATGCATGCATCTTGGATCAGATTTTGTCACCAGGAAACTAACAAAATTTGTAATAAACATTGTGGAGATACTCCTGAAGACCTGAAACTAAGAAAAGGATGTTTCACATCTATTTTACACAAATCCACTTATATCACTAATGAAAATATGACAGAGTTGTCCCTGTACTTAATTAAGCACTGCACCACAAACATATGAGGGGGTAGATGTACACTAGTACTTTGGCACTAGATGGAGCAACTGGTCAGCTTCATGCCCCAGCCACTTATCTTTTGGAAAGAGCCCCCATTACCCATTTGACAGAATCGGTGGGGCACCAAAGTTCTTCTGGATATACTGAACAAAAAATATTTACCCCTATAGGACAACAAACAGACTTTCCAATCAACAAGCCCACAATCTAGTCACTGCACTGACTGGGCTATTACAGCTGTAGTAATGTCATGATGAAAGTCCTCTTGATGTTACTAATCATACAGAAACCTCCCTCTCCTACTGCATTTACAGTGGCCTCACACTAGACCCCATTCTGTGCCAGTTCAATCCTGTTTTCTTCTTCACAAAATGGCTGCCTGATAGGAATATCCAGCCAGACCTAACTGTGTCAAGGAATTACGGAACTCGTTACAAATAACTGCATGCCATGCCATGCCTAGACCAATCATATGTTTACATACAACATGTGTAGAAAGTGTCTGTATGAGACGTAGGCACAGCTTGAGGCCAAGTTGCTTTTCCTCCTGGAGAGCAATATTATGAAAACTGTTAGCAAGTTGGAACACACAGAGTAAAACACTCTTAGCATATCTGTTCACTTATATGGGGCACATTTTTGGCATATCTGGGTAAGTGGGGATACTTTGCACTACGGTACTCTTGAAAGAATATGTGATAACTTCAACATGATAGTGAACTCAGACCCCACAAATTCAACTGGTACAATAATCACATCCTTCTATCTTCTGAGATATAAAGTCATGTAGCCTGATAGAAGTTTAGCAGCATTTTGTAGAAATGTATTGCCACCATCTTCAGGGTCAAGTAAGCCAAGCAATCAGCAGGTAGAGTGAGTTCAAAACATCAGTAAACTTCTATCATACTTCAGAGCATCATATTCCAAAATATATTATTTTCCACAGTCACTATTGCACCTAAATCCTTCTGCAGACAGTGAAATCACATTTAACTATGCAAAACAAATTCCTGTATTATTTACTTGCAGGAACTAAGTAAGTAAATGACCTCCTCACTATGTAACTGCTGGAGTGTCTTAACATGTCCCTCAAGATCACTGTCTTCTGGGACGTGACACTGTGGAATGATAAGAGGTTGGCATTTGCTGAAACAAAGGCAATTTAACTAAACCACATTAACCTCCCAATAAATATCCTTGCCCTAATTAGGGAAAGAAATGACGTGCAAAAGCAGTGGAAAAGAACAAGAAATCCACCATTCAAAGCAACTATGAATAGGCTGCAAAGACAAAACCAGAGAGCCATCACAATCTAGTTACAAACACTTGGAACACCCAGCTGAGTGGTACTGATACTTCTGACCTAAGCTAAATTTTGTCAATAACCAAATGATTCACCCAAGGAGGTACAAATCTCCCTCAACTAATCGAGCTCGGCAACAGCACAGAGACTGTGTATCTAGCACAGTCCAAATGCCTTAGCAGACATGCTGGAGGAGGCTTTCTGTCTCTTTCTTACTGGGAACCTAACACAGACACCCTGTGACATTATGAAATTTACTATACGTAGTCTCTTATCAATATGAACGGTAGTCAGAGCTGTTAAAGTAATGTGCAGGCATTGCGGCGGAGTTTCTGGATAACTTTCAAACCCTCGTTCACAACATTTCTTTTGAATTATACATTTAAACATTTTTCTTAATACAAGTCTCATTCCTTCTTTAAAGTTTTAGCTATGGCATTGTGACGTGTTGCGCAATGGAGGACACCCCTTCCCTCCCCAGCAGTATGTGGCGGCATCGTAGCGCTGTTATTACTATGGTAATAAGCAAGTCAACACCCTGCCCCTCTCCCCGCGGTGACGTAACACGCAACGCCGCAATTGCTACGTACCCGTAAACAACTCCCAACAGTGTTGCTAGGCTATCGGCAAACACGGCATCAGGCAACAGCGCTACCCATTACATAACAGGCAAACACTGCAACTATATAAGGGAACTACACAACCGCCGAAGTTAGTTCTCAAGTCAGCAGTGACGAGTTCTCGAGTCAGCAGTGAATGAGTTCTCAAGGTAGCAGCCTATGAAGCGAGTTGGAATATAGCAGCCGTCACAGAAAGAAGAACCAGATGCGTGTGTGATAATCAGTGATAGTTTGTGATAACTGAGTAATAATTGGGAGTGTGTGATACAGGGACACTTACATAGCTCCCGTATCGTACTGTGAATACGTGTAGACTACTGAGGACAGCGTGAATTCATTAGTGCGTAGGGTCTGTAAAGTGTGGAAACCCGTAACATTGTTATAATTAATTGTAGCAGAGACTTGTAGGTTGTTAAATAAACCAATTAACAATCCGAACGGCGTCTTCGGTAACGAAACGTATTACAGTATAAATGTGGTACTGACAAGGAAAGTAACCATGCCCTGGGCAAACAATGGGTACTTCTGTTTGTTAGTTAGAAGATGGCCATACTACTGCATATCCATTGTTTTCTGAAGTAACTTCTGTGTTGTTTGGTTATTTAATTGCAATGTGATACATGAGCATCAATGAGATGATAACTGAGATTGGTACATAGTTATGGATGTGAAAGGAGAAAATCATGGAGAACTGGAACATACATAAGTATTGTATTGTGGCATATCGACCCACTGCTACGGAATGCCCACAATACACACATGGCCAACAATAAAGAAACAGTGTTTTCTTTGTCTGCACATGGACCATTGCTATGCATACTTGGATGCGCATACTGACATCATGCAACACCAGTGGGTAAGGTCACATGATATGTTTTCCGTGATGCGTGTCCATGCCACATCTATATAAGAGGCAGTACAGAAGCAAGCGACAAGCTGGAGTATAGAAGAGTATAAGAAGTCAGCCTGTGAAGACTTTATGTGCACTGTAGTACAGTAATATTGGGAGTGTGTAATTTAGTGAGACTTTTATAGTTCCTGTGTTATAAATCCGTTGTCAGGAAATGGACAGTGAAGACTAATGGAAACAGACTGAGAAGATTAGTGCGGAGTGATTTGGAGTGTGTAGATCAGTAACAGGGTTATACTCCTTTGTAGTTACGACCTGTGAGTGGCCATAAATCTAATTACAAATCCAAACCCCGTCTACAGTCACTAATACACATGACAACATTTACATTAACCTTGCTGAAACATAGTTAACTAATGCAGGAATGCATTTAATTTAACACAAGATTGCATTGTTTCTAAGACCACAGCCCAACAAAGTAAACTGTAGACTATGTGCATTATCCAAATATTCACCTGAAAAGACTGAAGAAAACCACAACTGGGATGAGATTTGAGGTTCTCACAGTGGTGAATGTTAAGATTAAGTTTATCTGAGAAGTGGTGCCATGCATTTTGGTTGAATGGTACTAGCATTTGGCAGCAGGTTCCTCTGAAACTCTGTTCACTATCTACGGAACTGAACTGCAGTACATTCCAAAAGACTGTAATCACAATCAGGATATATGTAATCTGGTTGAGATTAGAACTGGGTGCTTCTTAGATCCAAATCCACATTATCAATTATTGCCACATGAACCTGTTTGCAGTTTTCACAAACTTACAAGGTAAAACTGACAACAGAGCACCTCAAGTCACAATATAGATATAGGATTCTGAAACTAAACACTGTGTAACTGCTCTTTTATGCATCTTGCTGTTTACCTGTGAGAGATAGCAAAGCATGCTGCGTGCACACTCGCAGTACAGCTCCAAGATCAGCTCTACCACCTGTTGGTAGTTGTGGTACACGCCCACCAGCGTTGTGAACTCAGACAGCATCGGGTAGAGGAAATGGAAAAGCGACTGAACTGTCACAACCTGTGACCCCTGTGCTACTCCTGCAACAGACAAAACATGAAGAGTAAAAACTTTCCATGTCACATGAGAAAGAATTCTCCTTACCTTACAATTTCAAGCACATCATAAGAAAAAAAAAACTTTAGAACTACATAAAATATAGTCTTTTTTTATTATTATTATTGCTAGTGGTGTGGGACTAAGTCCCTTGTACTGCGGCCACTTCTGGCCTATTGTACCAGCCCCAGATATAGGTAAGGGTGATTGTGGAGCAATTGGTGGAATGAAGATTGGCAGGGGAAACTGAAGTACTCAGAGAAAACCTGCCCCAGCACAACTTTGTCCACGACACATCCCACTTGACCAGACCCTGGATTGAACCCGGGCTGCAGCGGTGGGAAGCCAGCGACTAACCGCTTCAGCTATGGTGCTGCCCAGGTTTAGAACTTAGTTCAGTTGTGACGGTGGCCAGCCAGGAATTGCGTCAGCACGACAAAGTGAAGAATCCCACTGTTAGAAACCGTTACCAGCAAACGGCTGTTGAAGACNATCCACTTCAATTTCCACAAGTACATATTCAGACTATATTAAACTTAAGATGACACAACATATATCTGCTATTTTGCATCATGTCATTTTGATTAAAAAGAAACAGTGTTTCAGAACCTGACTCCGCTTCTGTTATCAGATAAAAATATGAAACATACTTTTCTGGGTTCAAACAGATGGAGATAATTTCTGTTCCAGATACAGATCATGTCAATCCAACCAACATAACAGAACAGGTGTCATAACTTTACCTAACGACAGAAGCAAAGCCAGTTTTCAAAATGTTAGGTTATGTTATACCAATTTAATTACACCTCTTCATCACAATCTTCTAAGACTTATCTTTCATTAAATGTAACACATTTGACTTCCAACTTATCAAACATCATGTTAGGCTGCTTAAATACTTTGTTGTGTTACATGTCATATGCAAAGACATTACATTAACTATGAACAATTCATCACCGTTAACATTCCGCTCTGTGCCAGGTTGCAGTCTCGGTTCAGACACCAGACACTCACATTTTCTATATATTTCCTCAATTCCTCCAAGTAATGTAAAGACTATACCTCAAATCAGGATATTACCACTTCCTTCCGCATCCTTCCCAATTCATTAATCAATCCCTTATTTGATGCCATACAGTCTGAGCTAATGACAATGAGGTTAAACAATTCACTCATTAAAATATTGTGAGATGCGACAGCTGAAAGCCAGAACAGTGGAATAGTAGAGGCAGTCACAACTGTAACCGCACCATGCAGGAACCTCAGCAATGTTGTTGATTTACATTTTTAATTACAATGTACTACATGTAAACGAACTGTACTACTGTTAACAATAGATGATACAGAATTGAACCCGGCACCTGCAGACGCCAAGGACAACATCTGGTCTTTCTGAGGGACAAGCAAGCTGCAGGTCACTTGAAAACCCAGAATGGAGCAGGAAGTATCCCGCTGTGTTTTCTGGGGATTTCAATGCTTAACTTCGACGGTGCGAGTCTTTGAAAATTTGAGACTTGACAGATACGAGTCGCAATAATTTTCGAAGGGGCGTACCGAGCGATCGTTAGCGTACCTCCATTTATTTGAGAGCTGTCAGAGAGACCGTCTTGTACTTTGGCCAAAATTAACATGGATCTGGTTAGGGATTGGCTGAATGCAAATGAGAGAAACACACAAATTTTAGGTTCAGCCAATCAGCAAAATTCTAAAGGAGAGGAAACCAGGCGTTCCCGGAACCATCAGGACATCTGCCTCTCCAGAGCAGTCAGTCATCAGAAGGAAATAGCGGGAGTGAGTCATTACAAGGGAATAAGAGCGGTGAGTCATCAACAGTGAGTAACAGGAGTGAGTAGCCAAAGGGAATAACCGGAGTCAGTAGTAACCTCCCGGACGTTAAATCGGTGTTGGCCCGAGTCCGGTGTACAAATTCAAAGTGCTACAGCCGGGTAATGGGTAATTGTAGTGAACATCTACAATAAAAGCAACAGTGTTGGTGAAGTGTGTGTTTTCAGTGTTCTCTCTCTCCTTGTGTGAGCAAGGCCCAGAAGTCGCCCTGAGACAGAATCTCGTCCTACCGTCTGAGCAGTCGGAACCCCAAACGTCCGCCTATCCATATCCCCACCTTTGTTTTCCCCGTTCCAAACTCGTGGATTCCATCCAAGTCCACTGGCACCCATACAAATTCAAATTCAGAGCAATCCCACGCCCTACCCTGAACCAGACAGCTACAAGGAAGCGGCGGATGCAAGTGCAGACCACAAAGGGGCGAAAGTGAAGGACAGGTATAAGTGATGACCAACTCGAGAGGCTTGAAGTCTCACTGAGCAGTAACGACGACGAAGAGGAGGGCGGTAATAGAACTAGGCAAGAGCATGATAAACACATTTCTACGGCAACAGATACTGATGCAACAGTAGAGGATGTAGTGTTTTCTATGCAGTCTGCACAAAGACTATATAAAGAGGATCAGCAGCAGGCGAGTTACAATACAGCAGCGGCAGCTGGTGGGTGGCCATGAGCATGGAAGCAGAGGAATCTCCGTTGCTAACGTCCACAGTGACTAGTGATGACATAACACAAAAGGCTTAGTGTGTGCAGATTAGTGAAAGTGTAATAATCATTTGTAGTTGCGAGTTACATGCAACCAATAAATCCAATTATAAATTCAAACACCATATCTAGTCATTAATGTATGACAATATAACCAGCATTAGCCCAGAAGGTGTTACGGCTAACAAGACGTAAGGGCAATGACTGCATACATATCACCAGGTGACAGGGGGCTAGGGTGACCCAATTCAGCCAAGTACAGAACACAAGAAGAGGGGAGGAAAAGCTGGCAAGAAATTAAAAAGTAAGATTACTGAAAGAAAGAAGAGGCTGGAGAGTTTATCTGCCAAGCTGCATAAAACAGTAACAATACTAGCAGAAGGAGAAGCAGAAGAGATCAAACCTGATGTGTAGAGTTGTATACTGTCACGTGTTGAGTACGTCACGCGACAAATAACTTCACGTAGCCTTCGAATTCAACAATTATTTATTGAACTCATTCATCCACACTTACTTAGAGTCGGGAATACAATTACTATCACTTGCAGTATCACAACTACTGCCTCTACTACAATGCTTCTACTGAGGCTGCGACATCTCAACTATCCTAGGCTGTGGCGGGATCCCAACTGTCTTCAAACTGTCCAAACACGTTACAATACTCTTACCTATAAATGATTCCAGAATGTCAATAATCTCTGCTTTAATGTTTTCTTCATGAAATATTCTGTTAAAATTTTCTTGACAAATTATATTTTTGAACCTGTCTTGCAGTGGTTTTAAAACCTGAAAAAAGAAGAGACAATAATTACAGCCATACATGATTACTTTAAATTTGGCACATGAAGACTTTTTTTTCCTGAAGGTTTAAAAGCTTAAGTATATAATAATGCAAGGCACAGACTAGTGAAGTTCAAGAGACTGAATATCATCATGAACAGAACAATAAATGGCTTCATTCATTGGCTAGAATGGCTACTTCTACTGCAATATCAGTTTATTCCCTAATGAGGAATGTAAAGGTAAAAAGTTATCCTTATAACAGGCGATGGAGACCCACAGGATCATGAGACGTTGAGGCTCCCACATTTTCTAGACAGCTGGCTCACAGATGGGAGTGAGGCTGTCAGCCTTACGTGTCAGCCAGCCATCTTTTACCTTCAGAAAGATACCCAGTACCCATTTCTACTGCAGCTAGAATGGTTAAAATTAAATGTTTTTAATTTTCGCTTAGCAGGAGGTGGAGTCCAACTGGGTCCACTCGGCATGACAGCCACTGATTGGCCTACTGTAGCCTGCCCCAGGTGATTATGATGGTGGAGAATTTGGTGGATTGAAGACTGGCAGGGGAAACCGAAGTACTCAGAGAAAACGCACCCCAGCACCACCTTGTCCACCACAAATTGCACTTGACCAGATCCGGGATCGAACCCAGGCCGCCACAGTGGGAAGCCAGCGACTTGAGCTATGGCACAGCCTAGAATGAGGTCAACTGAGAAATCTAATGACCTCATCAGGAATCAAACCTGTGAACTTCCAGCTTGTAGCAGGATGTCTCAATTAACTATGCTACCTCATGCCCCAAAATTAGGTATGTAGTAATATTATGTCACTTGTTTTATTTTTGGCTAAACATTCTTTTATTACATTGTGGCGTTCTGGTTTATGACACTGGGGACTATGCGTCTGCAGGAGGAAACAACATTTCAAGGCAATATACTGCCTCCATCTTCATGGTACAAAGCTTCATAAATGCGTTTGCATGTTCTTGCTTAAGTAGGCAGAGGTGAACAAACAAGGTCAACATATGTGGAGGCGCTACCCCAAAGGAAGTCTGTGTTCTGATATGGAGTTACCAAGCAAGCCTTTGGATGGATGACTAAGCCACTGTACCTGTATCCAGTACTCTCCTCTTCTCTGAACATCATCTACAGCTGCTCCTGCCAGAACTAGAGCCTTGAACAGTCCCCGTTTAGCTGCCCCAGGGAATGCCCCCCTCTCTGTTTTAGACTGTAACTGTACAATGTTCCAGAATCCCTCGCTCTTCAAAACGACACTCCCTCTGTAAGAGCACAAAACCACATTGTTGTTACCAGACCAATGAGACAAATTAATTAATTCTTCAAATGTTTAACACTGTTCTCTCCAGCCATTTGTACATACTTTTCTCTCATGTCAACAAGTGCGATGAACAGCCTCACTGTATCCTTTATGAGCCCTGGCTCAGAACTGAAGGAGCACAGATTTGACTCTACTTTTCTGAGGAGGAAGTTCACTGTCCATGTTGCACCATCTGTGTCCTTGCCAAATGCTGCCAGCAGTGCCATGCTTATCTGAAACATGATTACAGTTCTCTCAGTGTGATGACATGCAGTTTGGTAGATTGGCACCAATATTTTGGAGAATGGCGCTGGAACTTGTCTACCGAACTACATGGTATCATATCCCAGTGAATACTGTGAGACCCTAAATTTCAGACCACACCTGCTTCATGATACAGGTCACAAGTCTTGCTAGTGCTCCGTCCCCCCTTCATAAGTATAAATGGCTATCTCCTAGCTTGGAAAGGAAACAGCCTTCAACTCTGTGGGTCATACTTTTGATTACACCTGTCACTTTGAATATATCAAAAGAAGAAGCCATTTGGGAGATCTAGGCACAGATGAAAGGATAACATTTGAATGGAATGTGTGAACTAGACTGAACTGGTTTAGAATACCTTCCAATGGTGAGATTTTGTAATTGTGGTGATGAACCTCAGTTATATACAACCTCTGAACTATTCAATGTGTAAGTAAGACCACACAGAGTGCAATTTCTGTTTAACTCTCTAAAGCCCAGTGGCTACCACTGAATATGTACCACCTACATTAAACTTTAAGTGCCGAAGTGCCCCGTTTGTGCCAGTGGTGAGGAAGGTCATTGTGGCCAAAGTACCCAGTTTTGGCCACTTGGGCATTTAAACTCCACTAGGGGAAGCGCGCGCACACGCTGCTAGTAGAAGCGAATGCACA